AGAGGAGAGGAGAGGAGAGGAGAGGAGAGGAGAGGAGAGGAGAGGAGAGGAGAGGAGAGGTGTCATGGCTTGCAGCCTCCCCATTAGTAGTGCCTGGTGTAAAACATGTTGTAATACATGTCATCCTTCCTTATGTCTCTTGCTGTCATTGCATCACTTTTCTCCTTGTTTTAATAAGCCTCTCAATACAATGGCATGAATCAATGTGGTATAAATTGAATCAGTGAAGATCCGTGTCATTTCTTCAACCCGGAAAGTGGTACACATGGAGTTTCCATAATAATTTTATATAAATATAGAAGCCACTAGTAACAGTAGTGAACAAGCTGGACTGATTTTACAATGATGTTGTTTTCTGACTGGGATGTTAAACTGTTTAATGATCCAAACAACCTGGAATTATGAGATTTGGAAAAGATGCTAAGTGAGTTGGCAGTGCTAAAACACAGCATGTAGGAGTGATGCAGGGCTGCCTCTACCAAAATCCTTGCTGAACAGATCCTAAGCCCTGGTTCTCCAGTTTCTGACTGAAGATGTACAGGCACGCATCTCTCTTCCACTGTATGAAACTGAGGCTGAATTGTCACCCGCTCTGATTTCATCTTGAAAAAGCTGACATTCCCCCTTGGAGACAGATGGCTTATACTATTAGTTTCTGCCTCATGGCTGCTTTACTTTGCCCAAATGCTTTGCAGTCTGCTTTGCAGCAGACAGGACACTCAGTGGCACCACATAGCGTGTCACAACGGGGAAGCCACCACCCTGCTGAGCTGTCCTGCTCCTGACTTTCCAACCACTGTGTGCTCAGGGCACATCTCTTATTAAATGCAAACAAATAAGTGGTTTGCATTACCTCCCACAAAAAGACAAATCCAACTGCTTTGTGTTTAGTGATAACTTTAAATGCTGGCCAGTGTCACTTCCACTAAGTGGGAAAACTGCTGGCAGCTAAGGCTTAGAGAGTGTAGGATTTGCTTTGCTTACCTTTGCTCAGTGCATCACTGCCAAAGAGAGACTGTGTGGGAGCTGCCAGGCTGAGGGGACAGTGCTGCTGTCACTACGTCCATTTTGGTGTCTGTATGCCTCCACTGGACCAGGGTCAAAGGTGACTGGCTTGGGGCTCTCATAATGCACGGTGTCTCACCATGCTCTGCAAAAAGAAGAAACGCAATGGCTTGCTCTTTGCTGAGTGTTGTGAGAGTATATCCTTAAGTGTAAGAGCTAATTCCAAGATACTTATATATAAGTACTCCAGATCATGCAAATTTTAAATATCATAAATACTTTGCCTAAATATATTTAAAATAACTGCTATATTAATGTACCTTACCACAGGGCAGACAAGCCTGGACAGTTTCGTTGCTTACAATACTTTCTGGCCCTGGGAAGATTCTTCTCCTACTTTAAATGTCATTATCATCACAGCATGCAGAACGAAGTATCTCACATAGGAAGAAAGTCAGATGAAAAAAGCAGAAGAAATTATAGTAATGTGCACTTTGTGGAGAATCAAAACTCACATTTTCAATCATTTTCAATGAGAAGAGGAAATTCCTCAAAGGAAAACAGCATTTCATGCAAAATGTCCTGGTTTGTCTTCTAGGCATGTATTTAGAACACGAGAAATACTAAGTGACGGGGAAACTTCTTATATATATCAGCTCCAAACACAAAGCTCTTGTGTAGTGACAAAAGTTTAGAGTGGCCTTTGCATATAGAAAAGAGTGAATAAAGCTGTGTTTTAATCAAGACATGAATTGATATTGCTTAATAGAGCCACTCTTACCAATACTCATGTAGATTCATTCTTTTCATTACTTCAAGTGAATGCAAACAAATCATATCTGAGATTTCTTGTGTTTTCTTAAAGTTCAGAGACAGAAGATACAAGAAACTGGGGGAAAAATGTTAAGGTGCATGGAGAAATGTGAATCAGTGCTGTTTCACTGAACAGTGTCACAGAACTCCAAACTGTTGAGGAAAAAATTGTCAGTATGAGGACAGGAATGAAACATTAATCTCATTAATCTCACTAATAAATTCATCACATCTGTTGGCTTATTGCTAAGATTCATTGTCAGAAGAAATTATTCGTCTCCATAAGCCCAGCTTTCCACAAAGCACTGAAACATGTAACAATATTAACTATACTTTCACCTATCTGTGCATGAGCTGCCTTAATAGTAAGGGACTCCTGAGGCATCAACTGCACTTATACCTTTATTACTACCTCTTACTTTTTTGAGAACATTAATTTTTAAGTAAGCTGGTATGTGAGCCAGCTTTACCTTTTGTGTGCCCATTTTATATATGCACAAGAACTGCAGCCAAAGGGAAACCAAAGTGTGACATGGGTTTCAGTCGTGATTAATGCAAGCATCTCCTCTGGTGTTGCTGTTAGGAATAGGCAGAAGTACGTGTTGAGGGGCTTCTTGAGTTCAGACCTAGAAGTCGAGGGGCAAAAAGGAAGCAAAATTAAGGACAAGACCAGATGGTGAACCGTGTTGGAAAGGGAATTTTCTGCCTATGGTTATTTCAAGTGAGTCTTCACTGAAGGGTTCACTTCTTAACCCTTCCCTTGCCACAGGGAGAACATCTCGCCCAAGTCTGCTGTGCTTGTCTACCACACTGGGCTAAAATGTGGTCCATGCTTTCAGCACACTGGGAGACTCCTAGCTTTGCACTGAGGGCACTGGTGAAACCACTCCACTCATAACACCCAAAAATAACCACATATTTCCTGCAATGTGTTTGGGGAGTTGCACCATGACCAACACAGTCCCTTAAAACCACATGGAACCGCATGGTTCCAAAACTGCACAGAAACCATTGATATACCCCCAGAAAAGCCAGAAGTGCCCAAGAAAAGCCAACAGTGCTGCTCCACTGGACACAGAGCTGCTCAGCTCCTGCTTTTCACACACCTGTGTCTGAATCATAGAATCACAGAAAGCCAGTGCTGACACAGCTCTGGAGATGGCCACCAGCACAGGGCTCCATTGGGGCAGCATCCTGGGGGATGTGAGCACAGAGCTACTGCCTTCCCACCCTACGCTTAAGTGGTGCTCAGACCGCCGCCATCTGCTCACATATGATGAAGGGTAGGATCCATACCCAGCACCTGACCTATGCTTTCTTGGCACAAACGATGCCTGGTATATTTTTTTGTATGTTCCATCTTTCTCTTTGTAAACATGTTTGCCACAATTCAGTGACTGTAAATATTGAGTCAATCATCACAAAAGCATTCTGTTATTATAATCCCACTGAAATTGTAGACATGTTGGAAAACAAACAAAATGAAAGAGTTAAGAGGGAAAAACCTCAGAGATGTAAGCTGGCTTTTGTTTTCTCTATTCAGAATAAAGCTCTCTGCTGTGCTCTTAGTGACCACGAGGCAGATGCATCTCCCACGAGATGACATGAGTAAACGTTGGGTGCAACACTGCATGCCCAGACCGCCCCAGGTGATGGCTGTGACTCACGTGTTTAACGTTGGGCATTTGAAGCACGAGAAGCGGCTGTGCGCAGGGCTGCTCGGAACTCCAGCCCCACACGGAGCCCTGCCCCTTTGGAAGCTTGCCCTGTGATTCTGAAGGGCAAAGATTTACCAGGTGCGGTTCAACTTGAAGCCATTCCGTGACATTTTGCAAGTGCGCATCCACTGCACGGCCGCGGGCCATGAGCAGACACCTTGCTGGCGCTGCGGGTGCCCCACGAAGGGCATGAGGGTCTCGCACGCTCTTTTTAACCGAGATGGTGGTCTGGTCCGAGCAAAGGCTCCCCAGGGCAGCGTCACGGCCAGAGTTCAAGAAGCGTTTGGACGACGCGCTCGGACATAGGGTCTGACTTTGGAGTGGTCCTGCGCGGAGCCGGCTGATCTCCGGGGAGAAGCCCTCCCGTGTCTCGGCTCACGGCACGGGACCGCCCGGGGCCTCGTCAGCGACGCTCCCGCGGTGACGGGCGCGGGGCGGGGCAGGCCGGGCTGCGGGGCCGGGCGGAGCGCGAGTGGGTGCGCGGCGGCGTGGGGCGGCGCGGGGCGGGCGCGCAAGGCACGGGCACTACGCGCGGGCACGCACACGGAGCGCACGCTGTGTTTGGAGCTGTTTATTCGCTTTTTTTCCTCTTTTTTTTTTTTTTTTTTTTTTTTTTAAATCGCCCGGGACTGGAAGCGGGAGCCGCGGAGCTGAAGCTGCTATGCCCACTGAAATCAGCCGGGCCGTGAAAATGCACGCCATCTCCGACCTGCACTCGTCTTTCAGCGTGCGGCTGCTCAACAAGGGGCCGGAGTACCTCCGGCGGCAGCTGGGGGCCGGCACCCCCGGCCGGAGGAGCGCGGCGGAGAGGCTGGCAGCCGATAAGGCCAAGTATGTGAAAAGTCAGCAGGTAATCAGCACCAAGCAGGAGCCCGTCGTCGTGCTGAGCTCGGCCTCGGAGTGCAGCAGCGAGAGCTGCTCGGTGGAGAGCACCAAAACGAGCAGGGATTTGGGCAGAGGGAAGGGCGCGAAACCGCTGGAGAGGGCGAAGGCGGGGTGCGCGTGGCGGGGCCCCCTGCAGCACGGCCCCCCCATCGCCCGGCGCAGCACCCCCAGGAGGCAGGGCCGGCCCGACTCCCTGGTGATCTACCGCCAGAAGTGCGAGCTGGGGAGAGGGCAGAGCCAGGACGGCTCGCGAGGCAGCTTGGTGAGGAGGTTCTTCCAGGGGCCCGGCAAGGAGAAGCAGTTGGCTTCCCCTGGGGTGCCCAGAGTCATTATGGAGGACGGCTCTGCCGCCGAGAGCAAAGAGCCTCACCCGGCTGAACTCGCTGTCTCTGAGCCTGGTGGCTGTGGAGCTGAGCAAGCTGTCCCGGTGAGCACTGAAGACCCAGGAGTTTGTACAACAGAACGTGAGAAGCCCTCTACGTTGCCTGCACCTCCTGAAGAGGTCAAGGAGGTGAAGAGGAGAGGTCTCCATCGCTCCCAGTCGGACATCAGCTCTCGCTACTCCAAATCTTTCTCTGAGTTTGACACGTTCTTCAAGTTCTGTGGCCTGGAACAGGAGGTCATCGAGGATTTGGGGAGAGAGAACTTCTCGGTGGTGTCCGACAACGTCTCCTTCAAGATCCGCAGCATCAGTGTGGCCACATCCGAGAGCGATTTCACACGGCATAGCGGGGACGAGGGGCTGCTGGAGGATGAGCTCACAGAGCAGGTCCCCAGCAGCACCTCGGTGATCGAGCGCAATGCCCGCATCATCAAGTGGCTGTACACCTGTAAGAAAGCCAAGGAGAGCAGCAAGGCAATCCAGGAACTGGCGTGAAGGCTTCCTGCAGCATGTGCTGCAGCCTGGCGAATGCAAGGTGTGTGCAGAGCCTTGTCCTGCTGATTTATGTATTTCTCTTTCCTCTTTAGCAAGCAGTAGACGTTGCATAGTTTCTTTAAGTCTTTTTATGAAAGGTGACAGGCACCTTTATTTTGTATGGTAGTTGTCGTAGTGCTGTGTTTTTCAAAGCAGGAATCTGGGGCATTGCAAAGAACAAGTGCAAACAAATAAGTGAGTATAGCTTGCCAGAGTGCAATCAGACCCCCTACAAGAAATCAAAGCGCCAGTGGCTATGAGGGATGCCTGCTCACTGCCCGCTTTGTAAATAGCCTGGTTTCTGCAATTTCTGCTATATTAAGTGCTAAGAAAAAACTTAGAAAAGTATTCAACCCATAATTACAGTAGCTTAGATGACAGACTGAACTGAAACTACTAATGATTAGGAGTACATCTGTATTTATACAATACTTCTGAAGCTTTCTTGTTCCTTTCTCTCCTTCTCTCACTGTTCCCCTCTGTTACTTAAACATGGGCACCCCCAATTGTCCAGTATCAAAGCTGAGCCATTAGCACTGCTACCAGCCTGATTTCCCCCACAGCTTGCTGTTGTTGGGACCATAAAAGTTTGCTCCAGGTGATCCCCTAGCATGTGTTATCTGTTCTGTTTTTCTGAAGTGGGTTCTGCCATGCAGCATGGTCCCAGTGGCTAGAAATTAGTTGTGTGGTTTGCCTTGTCTAGAGAGATACCTCACTGTGTTATACCAGGATAAATGATACAAATGTGTGGCATCTAGTTACAAAATCAGTCCATTCACATACAGAAGGAGAACAAATTTAGCACTGGTGAAATCTGATGTCCCGGCTTTAACAAAAGCTGTGCTTATTTTGCATCTGGTCTCCTCAAAAGCACTATTCCTGAGGCCTTTGGTACTGACGGTTTCATAGATACAGTATTTTGTTGAAGACCTTAGTGTGTAGGTACCACAGCTCACAGTGAGGTCTTTAAAAATTGCATGAACGGTTCTTGATATGAAGGATTACGTATACGTGTTCTGACAGTTTGTAATTGGTGCGTGAGAAGAACATCGCTTGGTGTAGGTACAGCGGTCGATAGTGGGCCCTGTGAATGTGGAGAAATGTAATGCTTGAGCCTTCCTGTTACGTGGGTGTGGGGCTGTCGCTCCCAATGCCTTTTATCTATGTAATGCAAAAATCAATTCACTTGCTTAAAATTGTTTTAATCTTGTGGAATTTGGATAATTTAAAAAGTGATTTTCCACAAGAAGACATTTATGTCTTATGAGTAGAGGGAGGAGGAAGGGAGAGGGAGACCTTTTCACACAAATATTTCAAGCCATTATATATAAATGTTGTTATGTTATAGATCCATTCCCAAATTACACCAGAGAGAAGGAGACTCTCCTGATCATTTCTCGATATCCTTTTATAATAAAAGGCAAGGGAGAAACACAAAAAATGGTGCAGGTGGCCAGCTGAGAACCTTGCTGAGGATGGAAGGCAGAGCTTGCTCCCTTCCACTTCAAGCAGGAGCCTCATTAAAAAACAACAACAACAACAACAACAAAAACCCCACAGTTCCATGAACTAAAGCAAAATAGAAGCCTGTCAGTTTCCATGTGGGCTTGCCAGGGATAGGTTGCAGGGCCAGGGCAGCGTTTGTCATGGCAGGACGCCAGAGCTTGCTGAGGAAGGTGTGTTTGGGCCTTCTGCCATCCACGTGCATGGTGCTAAGCGTGTCCAGTGCTGCTGAGAGGGTGATGCTGGGGGCTGCTCCAAAGAACATACAGGCTGTGGAGGCCGAGGGCTTCAGAGACAGGTACTTCACCAGGGCAAAGGCAGGGCAAGAAGGGAAAAGCTCTTTTGTAGGAGCTCACACTGGCTCAGTGTGCTTTTGAACATCAAAGACAACACGCCCATTTGGAAAGGATGCTACTCATAGCCCATAACCTTGCAATATGGTGAAAAGACTCCATGAAATTCATGTGGCATATGTGGTCATTCTGAAGTAACTTTATTATCCAAAAATGACATGTTTTAGGATTGTTTTTCCTTTAAGTGTTCTGTACCCTTAGAAAAAGTGCAGTCTCCCATTTAAATTGAAATCAGAGTAGAGCACAAGGAAATGCTTTGCACCGGCAGCAAGTTTCTTTGGCATCAAAATTTGGCAGTCTAGGAAATACTTATCCACAATGTTCATATTATAAACTTGATTTCATACATACTAGGACTCACTCAGCTGATAGACCTCAGTAGTGGGGCTACGATTGTTTCCAGGGTAATTTCTAAAAACTGAGGAAGTGCTCCAGAGAAGTCAGCTGAGAGTGCCAATGCACAACGCCCAGAATAAAGGACAGGAGTCATCAGGTTGCCATAAGTTAAATATTACGGTCACCAGGCAGAATTTAAGCTGAGAGTGGTTGTCACCACATGCTCTGATGTTCGGTTCTGTAGCTGTGGTGTCTATGTTATTGTATACCCAAATGTTCATCTTTTTTCTTCAACTCTACACTTTCTGTGGTAAAACAGCATCAAGTTAAGGAACCTGAATCTTTTCATTATATTCATATATTTGACTCTGTAGCTCTGAGACATGCTCTTGAAGGCCTCTTTTTTTTTCACAGAGGCTTGAAAATTGAAAATTTCTAGTTGAAAATAGAAGCAAAAGCCTCTTCTTATTACATGTAAAATACCTTCTGAGAAGAACACAGCTTTTATGCGCTGGTGATCATTTCATTCATATTTTACGTTTCTTTTTAATTTTTCATGAGCTCTCTGGGGCCTGGTGGGAACGGTGTGTAAATAGAGCTACTTGAAGGATCAGATTGCCTGACACATCTCATCAGAGTGATGAGTGTGGAAACTAAGTGTGGTCTTCAAAACACAGAAGTCCTCTGTGAGATGGGCATTGGTATTTCACAGTATAATGTTGCCTGAATTCACCTCTGCAGTTCAGTACTGCTGGCTTCTCTTGCTGTCAGCCCTGCCCAACTCCAAGAAAAGGATTCACTCGGCATGCTCCTTCCTGGCTTGAATCAGGATTATTCAGCCTTCAGTTTCAGCAGTATTCTTACAGGAATGTTCATTGTTCAAGTGGAGATCTCACGGAAAGGGAACTTACTGCATTGGCAATAGTTATAAGCAGCTGAACAAAAGCCTTAGAATATCACCTAATGCTTTTTTGCTTTGATAGTTAATAAATTACACTTGTTTTTTTCTTCTTTCATCAGAATCCTTGACTTGGAAATTGAGCAAGACCAGACACAGAAAGAAACTTTTCCTTCATCTGGCTCATGACTACTTTGTCCAAGTTCAGTGTTCTTGCCTCTTTCCCTTGTCCTCGTCCCCTGGCAGCCTCACTCATGTCACACGCACAGAGATATCCAAGAGAGTGACGACAGCTGGAGATCGTGAACTGTGCCGCAGAGAGGCAGCAGGAAATGAAAAGTTCTGGGATCACAAAGCGTGCTATTAACAGGGATATCCAGCATCAGGTCACTGCCCCAGGATGTCACTCCAGGCTGTGGCAGAAGGTCCATGTCATGCGCCCATCTCTTTCCAGTAATGTTTGTGAGTAGGAATGGGAGGAGAAGGTAGGAGTGAGGTGTCGCTGACCCTTGA